GTGTGTGTGTGTGTGTGTGTGTGTGTGTGTGTGTGTGTGCTCCCTGGTGTGTCTTTCTTATTTTTGTCTGCATCAATATTTTATTTTTATTTCAACACGTGTATCTTGGGAGTGTGTGGGTTAGAGAAACTCCCTCTGGAAGGAACGCAGGGATTGTAGCCTCTGCAGACCATTTACATGCACTAAACACCTACAGAACACTATTGTTCATTTATTCATTTATATAAACGGGGACAGTGTCTGTAATTCTGTAAATGTGCCAGAGTTAGCAAAGAGGCTATTTTTCATCTGTAGTCCCTGGACAGATTTTGGAAGTCACCCTAAAGACACATTTCATTTTAAACAAGTAAATGCAATCAAATAAAAACATGCAGTTCTGGAAATGTTACTAGAGGAGAGGGAACACCGCAGAGAGGAGAGTAGGGCCTCTTTCATGATCAGACTTCCCTCTGCTTCTACTTGTCACAAACGTCCATCTTCACATCTGTAATGTTGCACAGACCTCTGTGACACTGCAGTGATATGAACCAGTGTGAGGAGATGATTAGCACACACACACACACAAACACACACACACACACACACACACACACACACAGCAGCAGTACTTACAGAAAGAGCATTGTCTGACTTTCCATTGGAGGGTGGAGCGAGAGGAAAGGAATGGATGGAGCTTTTGGGGGAGGGGGACGGAGAGAGAAAACTGCTTCCAATGCTGAGTAGTAAAAATATAAAGAATGTGACCCAGTTGAGGGAAACAAAGTGAAAGAGTTTGCCAACATTTCAGAGCGACCCGTGGAGACACATGAAGAATGAGAGAGTGCAGAAAGAGAGAGAGAACAAGAGACTCAGATCTAGTCACTGTGATGTAAGAAACAGTCAAAGTCGAGTGATTTTACTTTTTTGCGAAGACTTTTTTAAATATTGGTTGAGAAGTGCAAAAAGGAATCCTCAAACCCTGACATGACTCAGCGTTTCATCCCTTCCTGTGTCTGGAGGTCAATGGTTTCTGAATGTGTTTTTGGTTGCTAGCCTGAAATAAGGTTTGTAGTTTAACACAAGCTGAAGAGATTTTACTGTTTTGTTCTACGACATAAAATATGTCAGTAAATACCTCACTGGTGGATTTAAAAACAGAGGTAGCTAACAAGTGTTTAAATTAGACGACTAAATGTCATCACGCCCAACATTAGCCTCCTTTAGCTTAGCGGTGGTGAAGTCATGTGACCGTGCTGTAGTTCCTTTATAGCCCAACATTAGCCACCTTTAGCTTAGCGGTGGTGACGTGAAGTCATGTGACCGTGCTGTAGTTCCTTTATAGCCCAACATTAGCCTCCTTTAGCTTAGCGGTGGTAACGTGAAGTCAAGTGACCGTGCTGTAGTTCCTTCATAGCCCGATATTAGCCACCTTTAGCTTAGCGGGGGTGTCGTGAAGTCATGTGACCGTGCTGTAGTTCCTTCATAGCCCGATATTAGCCTCCTTTAGCTTAGCGGGGGTGTCGTGAAGTCATGTGACCGTGCTGTAGTTCCTTCATAGCCCGATATTAGCCACCTTTAGCTTAGCGGGGGTGTCGTGAAGTCATGTGACCGTGCTGTAGTTCCTTCATAGCCCGATATTAGCCACCTTTAGCTTAGCGGGGGTGTCGTGAAGTCATGTGACCGTGCTGTAGTTCCTTTCTAGCCCAACATTAGCCACCTTTAGCTTAGCGGTGGTGACGTGAAGTCATGTGACCGTGCTGTAGTTCCTTTATAGCCCAACATTAGCCGCCTTTAGCTTAGCGTGATAGTAATAGTTGTAATAATAGTTACAGCAAGGGGACAGTGCAGCTTATAGAGGCAAACACACCATAAAATCAAATCAAAAAGGTACACATCCACGGTATAAAACTGTAGCATGTCACAACAAAACGAAAGCTAAACGCGGGTCATAGAAAACGTGCAATCTTTACAACATCTGTAATGTTTTCCAGCTAACCCACCCTGCACATGGCAGCTGTCTCTGGACGCTCTGAAAGAACCCGGTCTTCAGAGCTCAGAAACCATTATCCAGAATGCCCTTTGGCCAGATGCTCGGCCCCTAATTGTCCCGTGCAGCAGCAGAACAGTTGCTGTGAATCATCTGCTGTAAACAAGGCTGCTCCTTCAGGGCAGGAAGCGGCTCCAAACGGCCCACAGCACATTAATGCTGGGGCTTAGACCAACAAACGCAAGGACGTATGGTAAAGCTTTTCATAAGGATTCATCCTCAATGTCTTCAGATTGTACGGGACACATTTGAAGTCGATCAGATGGAAACTGTTTGAGGTGTTCGGTCAAACACACAACCCTGAAATGGTCAAAACGCAGAATAAAGAAGTGTCCGACTTCCTGTTTGGTTCACGAACTCGCTCCAATTGACTTTTTTTGTCGTCCTCACGTTTTAAATGTACCCACCAAATATCATACATGTAGGACATTTGCAAATATAGGGGCTGCATTTTAAATACTTAAATTTGGAAACACCCATTCGCGGACACACTATTCTACTCACATGTTCACTTGGTTTCAATGATTTGATATCCCTCGTATGGGTCTGTGAAAACCAATAGACGCGATAATGATCAAACCAGAAAGTAATAATGGTTTCAAATATACACTGGAATAAAATAAGTTGCCTTAAATGGGGTAGAAAGAAGCATGAATACCCAAATAAAGTACAATTATGTTCAAATACTTGAATAAATGTACTTTCCGCTAAACGCATCCACACTTTAAACTAATGACTTTGACAGTAATGTAATATAACCTGTCTCTCTGTATTATTTAATAAGTCATGTCTGTTTCTGTTAATACTCTCTCCAACATGTCAGCAGAATCCTAATGTTTCCAGATGTGGCTCCGGAGAGAACGTGAAGCTGCACAAACAGAGTTTTAACAGTTTAATGGGATGTTAGCGAGCGTTAGCGAGGTGTCGGGTCTCCTCTTAACGCCCGTGAGGCAGTAATGACAGAGGCCGGTGTTAACATGGTGTCGAATACAGCGCTGTCTGCAGATCCTGCCAGAACTCTTTAATCTGAGCAAATATCAGAGGTGTGGCTCTGCAGATTTCAGCGTGAGGATCGGGTTCAGAGGACCAGAACTACCTCACCCTGTTCCTGTGAGCAGAGCAGCTGCTTTCTGCTGAACACGGCTTCAGTTACTACTTTCGATTCAAACACTTCTTTCTTTCTGACGTTTTGTTTTTAGTTTTGACTTCTTCCATATGGTCCTGCTGCTCAGGGCGGGAAGTGCTGTCAGCTGGCCTAACCCAGTCAGACCCTAACCCAGTCAGACCCTAACCCAGTCAGACCCTAACCCAGTCAGACCCTAACCCAGTCAGACCCTAACCCAGTCCGACCCTAACCCAGTCAGACCCTAACCCAGTCCGACCCTAACCCAGTCAGACCCTAACCCAGTCCGACCCTAACCCAGTCCGACCCTAACCCAGTCAGACCCTAACCCAGTCCGACCCTAACCCAGTCAGACCCTAACCCAGTCAGACCCTAACCCAGTCCGACCCTAACCCAGTCAGACCCTAACCCAGTCAGACCCTAACCCAGTCCGACCCTAACCCAGTCAGACCCTAACCCAGTCAGACCCTAACCCAGTCCGACCCTAACCCAGTCAGACCCTAACCCAGTCAGACCCTAACCCAGTCAGACCCTAACCCAGTCAGACCCTAACCCAGTCAGACCCTAACCCGAATCAGACCCTAACCCAGTCAGACCCTAACCCAGTCAGACCCTAACCCAGTCAGACCCTAACCCAGTCAGACCCTAACCCAGTCAGACCCTAACCCAGTCCGACCCTAACCCAGTCAGACCCTAACCCAGTCAGACCCTAACCCAGACCCTAACCCAGTCAGACCCTAACCGAATCCCAGACCCTAACACAGTAGACCCTAAACCCAATCGGACCCTAAACCTAGTCAGACCCTAACCCAGTCAGACCCTAACCGAATCAGACCCATAACCCAGTCAGACCCTAACCCAGTCGACCCTAACCCAGTCAGACCCTAACCCAGTCAGACCCTAACCCAGTCAGACCCTAACCCAGTCAGACCCATAAACCGAATCAGACCCTAACCCAGTCAGACCCTAACCCAGTCAGACCCTAACCCAGTCAGACCCTAACCCAGTCAGACCCTAACCCAGTCAGACCCTAACCCAGTCAGACCCTAACCCAGTCAGACCCTAACCCAGTCAGACTCGCTCAGCTTTAACGTACCGTTCATTTAGATGTAAAAGTTCTGCACTTTGCCAAAGTTATGATTCAGAGCTTCTGAAACGCAGCAGAATAATAATCACGCTGATCCGATATCCGAGACATCTTCTGATTCATCTTTCCTCTCAAACTTCACGCTCTTTCTGGCCCGACAGCTCAATCTCACTCATTCTGATCGTTTTACTTCATTTTGTATTCTCCCATCTTTTTGTGATAAAACCAGGCGAGGCCGAAAGCTTTAAACTCCATCAGCAGAAACATTTCATCTCTACGCCCGGTTTCTTCTCACTGACACCTTTATAAGAAGTCAATGCTTTCGGACAAACTCCATTACTGTTCTCTCACAGATTCCCAGCCGCTTCGATCTCCTCCAAACACCTTGTCACTTGTATTACTTTGCATTTGAAAGAATCTACCAGCTGCATTAATCAGAATCAGAATTCCTTTTATTCGAGGGGACGTTTACGGCATGCACTTTGTATTTAAATGAAGCATCATTACTATTTACAGAAGGTCACATTCAGGTAGACGAGTAGCAGCAGTATTTATCAAATAAGTGTAACATGTAGAAAGTGTGGTAGAGGGCAGGTTAGCGGAGTTAACATGTCTGTCTGCAGCGGGTAGATTACAGTTTTAAAATAATGTTTTGCACGGTTATTTGAACAGATTCTTGTTACAGTAATGGATGGACTGGGAGCAGCCAGTATTCATATAATCATAATAACATGTGTATTAATCTCCTCTCCACTCTCTGGTAGATGTGTATGGAGCTGGAGGTTTCTCCGATCATGGGGCTTCCTTCAGGGGGGGCCCATCTTCAGGGTCCTTTGACCAGGACCAGAACCAGGACCAGAACCAAGGTCCAGCCCCGGGGATCGGCTTCTCTCCGGGGGGTCCAGGATCTGCTCCATCAGGCCCCCCCAACCCGAACTACAACAACATCCATATCCCACCGGGGGCCCACGCTCCAGCCAACACCCCCGCAGAGATGCCCCCCGCCTCAGGTGAGAGACTGGAAGGACGTCTGACAAAAGGTCAACATTTCGAGGTCAAAGTGAAATTCGAAAAAGAAAAGTTCAGAAAAAATATTAAACAAAAGAAAAAGTCTCATATTAAGAGGAAAAGTCAAATTATGAAAATAAAGTAGATTTATGAAAAAATATTAAACTGTGAGAAAACATTTTTCTAAAACATTTTTAGAAAAAAGTCAAATTCTTAAACAAAAATCTAATTCTGAGAAAATATTAAACTGTGAAAAAATAATTCAGTTTCTTAAAAAAAAGTCACAATATGAGAAAAAAGTCAACACCCCTAGAGCTGCCCCCGCCTCGGGGGAGAGGCTGTCTGTTCAAGCGTCTGTGGGTTCAAGAAAAGCGCTATAGAAATAAAATGTATTATTTAAGTCAAATTCTGAAAAGAAAAGTCATAATTTCGAGAGAAAAGTCAAATTTGAAAATAAAGTGAAATAAAAAAAAGTATGAGGAAAAAAAGTCAGATTTCTTTAAAAAAGTCTGTCCGTCTGAAATAACCATCCAAAGTCTTTTTTCCAAATTATATCGTTTTTAATATATATTTTAAATTTAAGGTGTTTTTTTTGTCCCAACAGAAGCCGCTAAACCAGTGCCTATTCCCAGATCAGTTCCCCTCCCTGTGGACCCCAGACTGATGCAGGGTCAGCAAGAGGGTGAGCGCACACACACACACACACACACACACACACACACACACACACACACACACACACACACACACCACACACGTGCAAGCTTACTATTTTTAAGTCTTTATTTTCCTGTGAATTTCTGAGAAAAAAAATCACGTTTTAAGAAAAGTGAAATGAGAAAAATGACACATTATGAAAATAAAGTTAAATTATGAAAAATATTCTAATTCTGAAGAAATATTAAACTATGAGAATTTGTTGTAATTTCTTTAAAAAGAAAGTCAAGAAAGTAAAATAAGAGGCAAGCAAATATTAAACTATGAGAAATAAAGTAAAATTCTGAGAAGAATTAAACAAAAAAATATTAAACTATGGGAAAAAATGCAATAAAAAAAAAGTCCAAATATGAGAAAAAAGTCAGTTTAAGAAAAAAGTCAGTTTAAGAAAAAAGTCAGTTTAAGAAAAAAGTCAGTTTAAGAAAAAAGTCAAATACATTTAAAAAAGTGAAATTGTGAAAAAAAATCACAGTTTAAGAAAAAATAGTGAAAAAGTTAAATTCTTAAAAAAAAAGTCAAAATATGAGAAATGTTACAAAAAAGTCAAATTCTTAAAAAAATGTAATTCTGTTTTCCCAGATCAGGGAAAAGCGTACGAGCATTTCAGTTTTTTTTTCAACATCTCATGAACTCAGAACCAATGCCTTATTCTGCAATGTAAACAAACATTAAACTCAGCGTGAGTCCAAGTGATTCGGATCCGCTCCGAACTTCAATGTCTGCTTTCTGCTGTTTCCCCACGATGAGAGCAGAGCCTCCTCGCTGGATGAGACTCAGTGTTTGGTCAGCTTGGTTCTGTCAGCCTCCGCCCCTCAGTCCCTGAGGAGCAGCCTCTTATAATGGGTGTAACTCTGCAGACTCTAACCCTGTCTCCTCTCTCTCTCCAGGAGTGCATCTCACCGCTGATGACTTCACCAAGGCTCAGAAGTTGTGTAAATACGCTGGCAGCGCTCTTCAGTACGAGGACGTGAGCACAGCCGTGACTAACCTGCAACAAGCTCTGCGACTTCTCACCACCGGACACGAGTGAAGCCTTCCTCCTCCTCTTCCTCATCCTCTTCCTCCTCACTACAGTTTGAAGAGCAAAGCTTATTAACATAACAAACGCAACGCTCCTTTTTGCTGATATCAACATGCATGAGTGTTTCTATAAAACATATCAGCAACAACGAGATTTAATGTCATTTATTCAAAAAAGAAAATTAAAACAATGAGACATAGCAACAGAAATGTGTTTATAAAACAACATATTAAAACGAGCTCGAGTAGAATAAGACAAAAAAGAAAAGTTGATCAAATGTGTTTAAAACACACGTTGACACTCCTAACAAATATAGTGCTCCTCTGATATTGATGACTTTTGATTAACATTTACCAAACTCTCTTTTGATTGTTCAGCCTTTTTACGGCAGAGGGTCAGGGCCACGGGAAAATACATTTGATTTCTAACCCAACATTTATTTTTGATTCTAAAATATAAGTAAACATTTTGAGAGAAATCTGAATTCTGAGATAAAAAATCTTTATTTTGAGAATAAAGTCAGAATTTTGACGTAAAAGTCAGAATTCTGAAATGAAAGTAAACATTTTGAGAAAAGTCTGAATTCTGAGATTAAAAAAAAATCTAAATTTGGATGAAAGTCAGAATCTTGAGAAAAGTCAGGATTTTGAATTTCCACAGAATTCCCCCCAAAAAATCCCTTTTGTTCAGATCTCAAAAACCTTTTCTCATGTCGCCCTAATCCTCTTCTGTATTTTTGTGTTGACCTGATTCTGTCAAAGGATCCTTCGCTGATCAGCTGATCGCTTTAAACTCACTGTGACTCCGAAAAAACTGACAGGCGATGAAAGAAAAAAGTGAAATGTAAAAAGTTTAAATCGTTTACAAACCGTAAATATTCAGATTTTAAAATGTCTTCTCTTATCTGTAAAACGTCTCTCCTCCTATTGGCTGGCGCACAACCTTCTGTAGTGATTGATGGTTTAGGGGCGGGACATCTCTAAGTGCTTGACCAATCACAACAGCAGTCTCTGAAACCCAAATGAAACGTTAAAGGATCTGCTGCTGGAGACGTCCTCTCACTGCTTTCTGTTTTGCTCTGAAGTATTTTATTTTGACGTGTTTCCATCCGTCTCTGTGTGTACGATGATCTTTTCTTTGTTCTGGTGGATTTTAAACCCAGATCTGCCAGAACCTCTGTTGATTTATTTGAATAAAATGGTTTGAGATGTTCACGGTGACTTCTCTGTTCTTGGGCTGCACTCACTCAACATGTCTAACACATGGAAGATTCATTCATTAAAGAACTTTGTTCTGATGATATCTGTGAGCTAAGATATAGACATGTTTCTCCACCTGTGATTATCAATCATTAAACAGAGAGGATTGTGGGTTTTCCAAGTAAACAATGAATTATTATTCTGATTATAGTTCAGGTTTTGAAAATAAATGAAAGTAATATTATTGAAACCGTTTTATAGAATCAGAATCGGGTTTATTACCAAGTAAGTTAACCCATGCATGAGAGTAACACATGCGTCACTTCCGAGCGAAAATTATGGCTCCGCCCACTTTTGGGGGAACACCACGCTGTCATTTGAATGGCGGTGTTACGTCCCCACTAGGGATGAGGAAATGCAACACACCCCAGTTGGAATTGGTATCATTATAAAGCAGGGGTCGCCAACACGTCGATCGCGACCTACCAGTAGCTCGCGGAGGTTTTCCGAGTAGCTCACCAGAGGGCGCTAAAGTGCAGTTGACATGTTGAGACATATTGATTTATGTAGTATATTTTGAGAGTAAGAAAGATAGAGAAAAAGAGATGCAGTCATGGAAGGTCCGTCAAAGAAGAAATCTAAAATATACTACTTTCATGACGAGTGGGAACATGAATTTTTATTTACGAGCATCAAAGACAAGTGTGTGTGTTTAATTTGTGGCTCGAGTGTTGAAGAAGGGAAATGTGGAGCGGCACTTCACAAAAGTTCACGAAAACGTTTCAAAGGAGTATCCCGCCGGCAGTTGCCTTCGCGTTGAGAAGGTACAACAATTAAAAGCTATGCTACAAAGGCAACGCTCACTGTTCACGAAGCCTGCCAAGAAAGCTAGCCTAGCTACAGAAGCATCGTTCCGAGTCGCTCAGTATTTGGCAAAGAACAAAAAAGCTTTCACTGATGGCGGTGTTCTTCAAATCAAATCAAGTTTTATTTATATAGCACATTTATAAACGATGTTTGGTGGAGCCGAAGTGCTGAACATAAAATACAATCAGCCTACAGTACTTTACAGCAAATACAACAACACAGATTGTTCAGAATATCAGTATGAGGAAAACGACACCCTCTGTCCTTAGACCCTCTATGCTTAGACCCTCTGTCCTTAGACCCTCTGTCCTCAGACCCTCTGTCCTTAGACCCTCTGTCCTCAGACCCTCTGTCCTCAGACCCTCTGTCCTTAGACACTCTGTCCTCAGACCCTCTGTCCTCAGACCCTCTGTCCTCAGACCCTCTGTCCTCAGACCCTCTCTGGGAGGGATCCCTCTCCCAGGACGGACAGACGTGCAATAGATGCCGTGTGTAAATCCAAGAGATAATACATTTTACAGCATATAGACCGAATGTTAGGAAATGCATGTGTCTGTAATAAGAAGATGAATCCACGAGGATGTCAGCTACAATCCTGTGGAAGCCATCAGGGAAGCAGCATGGCGAGACCCAAGGCAGGACCGCAGAGTCAGGTTCAGCCACGTGTTCTTAAGGTGTTCTTAAGGGAGCGATGTCTGTTATGGCAGAGACTTTGTTCAGAGACCACAAGAGCAAGTCGGAGATCATGTCTGCCATTGACGATGTGCAACTGGGACCCAACACTGTGGCGAGGAGAGTGTCGGCGCTGTCAGTGGATGCCATGGGACAGTTGGAGCGGGACATGGTCAAGTGGTTCTCCATACAGTGCGACGAGTCGGTGGATGCGAGCGACACAGCTCAGCTGTCTGTATTTATCCGGATGATTTTTGTGGATTTTACGGCGAAAGAGGAATTTCTGACACTGCTTCCACTCAAAACAACAACAAGAGGTGTGGACGTGTATAATTATATTAAGAATTATTTCATAAATAAAGGCTTGCAAATGGAGAAGCTTGTATCCATAGCAACTGATGGACCCCCCAGCTATGAGAGGTCGCCACAACGGTTTTATCGCAAATTGTAAGTCAGATCCATATTTCCCACGTTTCCTGAGTTACCATTGCATCATTCACCAAGAAGCACTTTGTGCCAAAGTTATGGACTTCAATCACGTCATGAAACCTGTGATACAAATAATAAACTATCCGAGCGAAGGCAAAACAACACAGGAGCTTCAAAGTGTTTCTTGAGGAACTGTCAGCTGAATATGGAGATCTCCTTCTCCATGCTGAGGTGAGGTGGTTGAGTAGAGGGGAAATCCTACAGCGCTTCCTCTCATTGCTGAATGAGGTAAAGCTCTTCATGGAAGAGAGAGGGGAGGACACCTCCATCTTATCTGATGCTGGTACTTGACCTGGCCTTTTGGACTGATCTGACAGGAAAATTAAACCAGCTTAACCTTTAAAGCAAATCTGTGTCTATATCTCCAGCAAGTAAAGGGAAAGAGATTGCATCATTTCCCCTCTGTTCAAAAAGTACTGCAGGAGAATAAAGCTACTGCTGGCTTTCTTGACTTATCAAAGTACTGTGACTGCTTAACTAAGCTTGGGCAGGAATTTGAGGACAGGTTTCTTGACTTTAAGCAGCTTGAGCCCTGTGCAAGTTTCCTTGCTAACCCATTCAACATCGTGGATGTTACTCACATGTCTGAGCAACTGACCAGCCTTTTCAGTCTCGGTGCTTCAGAGTTGGAGCTGGAGATAATCAATCTCCAGAATGACATTCGGCTGAAAGCACATCAGATGGACGAAGATTTCTGGAAGCGATTGGACCCAGAGAAATTCAAAAACATTCAAACTGCTGCACTGAAACTGTCCTGCTTATTTGGGTCAGCATTCTCTGATATGAACTTTATCAAATCCAAATTCAGGACAAGACTTACTGATGAACACCTCAATGACTCAGAGTGAATTTGTCAGGATACACTCCCCAGTACAGTGCTCTGGTGGATGCTATGCAGTGCCAGGTGTCACATTAGCTGAGTCAGGAGAAAGACAACAATGCAGTGACAGACTGAATGTTTGAAGACATATGTTTGCTTGATGCAAGTTGAGAAAAGTACAAGCCATATTCCCCTTTTACATGTGAAACCAATTTGTGAAATGCTTGAAATAATTTAAACTATAGAGCTAGAAATGTTATTATTACAATTAGGAACTTTGCACTCTTATCTGTAAAACTGTTTACTGTAGTTATTGATGTTAAACAGAACTCAGTATTGCATGGTGATTATTTGTCTTTTTTTCTCTTCATGAGAAAGTCAAGTTTATTCATGTTAATGTTAATGTTTCTGCTCTTGAGTCACGAATGTGATATGTGCACTGAAATCTATATAAAACAACATGAGTAGCTCTTGGCCACTTTCTTTTTTCAATGGTAGCTACCGGTTAGAAAAAGGTTGGAGACCCCTGCTCTAGACACTAACTAAGCTACTCTACGCTCTAACTAAGCTACTCTACGCTCTAACTAAGCTACTCTAGACACTAACTAAGCTACTCTACGCTCTAACTAAGCTACTCTACGCTCTAACTAAGCTACTCTAGACACTAACTAAGCTACTCTAGACACTAACTAAGCTACTCTACGCTCTAACTAAGCTACTCTACGCTCTAACTAAGCTACTCTACGCTCTAACTAAGCTACTCTAACTAAGCTACTCTACGCTCTAACTAAGCTACTCTACGCTCTAACTAATCTACTCTACGCTCTAACTAAGCTACTCTAACTAAGCTACTCTAGACACTAACTAAGCTACTCTACACTCTAACTAAGCTACTCTACGCTCTAACTAAGCTACTCTACGCTCTAACTAAGCTACTCTACGCTCTAACTAAGCTACTCTAACTAAGCTACTCTAGACACTAACTAAGCTACTCTACACTCTAACTAAGCTACTCTACGCTCTAACTAAGCTACTCTACGCTCTAACTAAGCTACTCTACGCTCTAACTAAGCTACTCTAGACACTAACTAAGCTACTCTACGCTCTAACTAAGCTACTCTACGCTCTAACTAAGCTACTCTACGCTCTAACTAAGCTATTCTACGCTCTAACTAAGCTACTCTACGCTCTAACTAAGCTACTCTACGCTCTAACTAAGCTACTCTACGCTCTAACTAAGCTACTCTAACTAAGCTACTCTAGACACTAACTAAGCTACTCTACACTCTAACTAAGCTACTCTACGCTCTAACTAAGCTACTCTACGCTCTAACTAAGCTACTCTACGCTCTAACTAAGCTACTCTACGCTCTAACTAAGCTACTCTAACTAAGCTACTCTACGCTCTAACTAAGCTACTCTAACTAAGCTACTCTACGCTCTAACTAAGCTACTCTACGCTCTAACTAAGCTACTCTACACTCTAACTAAGCTACTCTAACTAAGCTACTCTAGACACTAACTAAGCTACTCTACGCTCTAACTAAGCTACTCTACGCTCTAACTAAGCTACTCTAGACTCTAACTAAGCTACTCTACACTCTAACTAAGCTACTCTAACTAAGCTACTCTACGCTCTAACTAAGCTACTCTACGCTCTAACTAAGCTACTCTACACTCTAACTAAGCTACTCTAACTAAGCTACTCTAGACACTAACTAAGCTACTCTACGCTCTAACTAAGCTACTCTACGCTCTAACTAAGCTATTCTACGCTCTAACTAAGCTACTCTAGACACTAACTAAGCTACTCTACGCTCTAACTAAGCTACTCTACGCTCTAACTAAGCTACTCTACGCTCTAACTATGCTACTCTAACTAAACTACTCTAGACACTAACTAAGCTACTCTACGCTCTAACTAAGCTACTCTACGCTCTAACTAAGCTACTCTAGACTATAACTAAGCTACTCTAGACACTAACTAAGCTACTCTACGCTCTAACTAAGCTACTCTACGCTCTAACTAAGCTACTCTACACTCTAACTAAGCTACTCTAACTAAGCTACTCTACGCTCTAACTAAGCTACTCTAGACACTAACTAAGCTACTCTAGACACCAGAGGTGTGGACTCGAGTCACATGACTTGGACTCGAGTCAGACTC